CCCCCTGTGGGGCTTCCCAACAACGATGTGCCCTAGGCAGCGCTGCCCTTGCCAGGTAAGCCACTGCGCGCTACAGCACTGCCTCATCCACAGCCTATGTGCTCTCTCAAAAGCTGGGCTCGTTGGATGATGGGGATCACCTTTCTCGGTGAGAGATCGCGGTGGATCTTTCGCTAAGCTTTCTCTAGATAACGAACAGCATCGCTGAGGAGGATCTTATCAGAGGAGTCTTATTTGGGCACTGGGGAGGAGAGTAGTATCGTGCCTTGACAGAATTTTTCCCTTTATGACTATTCCCGTTTCATATGCGCCATAATACATTTTCCTCCAAAATTCCTTCCAGTGCGTCCCCTTTCTCCAGGCAAGCTAGCTGACAGAGGGGGTGGGGTGTACTGACACCACACATCCCCTCCCCCTCCCCTCCAGAATCACGATGCTACAATGCTGTACCCCGTAGACACACGCCAAGATGAATAATAACCGTAAATGTGAAACCATTCTTCGATATTTCAAAGAATATGAAATCAAACTGGTATGCTTTTACCTACCTGATGTGGGAATCCAGACAACTCCATGTACCCGTGCCCACAACACCGTCAGAAAACCAAATGAAGAACAACCACACGAATACTGGAAATAAAAAGCATCTCGTCGCGTGATTTTCACACGGCCAATAATAGCATTCGAAAAAAAACGGAAAAGTTTCTCTACTTCTGTGAAAATTAAATGAGCAGCAATTTCAGCGAGAGCACGTCGTACCTTATAGGATCCCCCGTGAGTGGGGTCGCATTTGGTCGCAGCAGGTAGGGTGAGATTCGGTGAAAAATGTTTTAGACAACTGATTTTTTCCTCGATTTCTCCATGCGTCATACCCCCGCACATTTTTGCGGGGAAAACTGAGGGATTTTCAAAAAAAAAATTGGGGAAAATTCAAGAAGAAGAGAAGGTAGGTGGGAGTGACGAAGGGTTCGTACCAGAGCATGAAATTTTGAGGGAGGAGGGGAATCGTATTTTCTAATATTTTTCCCAGTGGGAAGACATGCTCTCACCTCGAGTTGAGTTCAGAAAGATGGTATGTAGGATAGGAGACGGGGAAGTGGGAGGGGTTGTACCAAAAGAGGAAATTCCGAGGGGGGGGGCATATTTCGCAGAAATTTTCTCTCATAGATAGAACGTGCTCTGATTTCAGCAACTTTCAATCAACTTTTCATGAATTTCATTGAGATTCTCGGAAAACAAACGTCACGAGGGTAAAGGGAATCAACCAGCCGTTCAACCGATGAATAATCATCAAAAATAAAAGAAAAAATGGCGGAAGCCGTACTCAACGTAAGGTTTTCCGCGACGGAAAACAGGAAAGAAGTAGCGCGCGTCGCGGTGAAGTTGAAACGGAAGAGGGAACGACTGAAAGACGCGCAATGTGACGAGGAAATCGATGACGACGACGACGGCATGTACAGCCACAGCCACCCACGTGGTGATGAGAGCAGAGCATTTTGCATTTCACATCTCACCAAAACAAATCCAAAACAACACAACCATAAAATCCGAAAAATTCAACAAATTCAACTTGTAACTGACTCAAGGGGGATTTATCATTCGATGCTTCGGACCTTAGGGTCTTAAGCCCTGTCGGGCTCTACATGAAGGATTACCTCGGCTTACGAGCGTCACACAAGCGAATGGAAACGAGCAAGCATTGACAAACTACCATGTAAGAGACAAGCAGGAAGAAATATGGAATAGTGGCTCCGAATATTCAGGAAAAATCACTTTTTTTATAAAGGATGACTCAGATATTGTGAAAATTGCAGTATTCCTGCACCACCTTACCCTCCCATAGGCCACAGAGGCCATACCGCCTCACCAAGCTAACCTAGGTGACGATGTTGATTGGTGTAATTTGATATAAAGTGCGCCAAAGGCCCCGAGTTCCCGTAATTGGGTGTGGGTGCCTCCTGCCCTTTTTCCAACCCATTTCACTAGCAATCATGGCAAACAGTCGGTGATTCAATTGGCTTCGTGCCTCCAAACGATGTTCAATTAGTCCGTAAAATCGACGCAGCAGCAGCAGCAGTTTGAGCTCCGCCGAGCTGCTGCTCACTAAGCTCACCACACTATGGTGTAATATGAGAAACGGGTGGGAGACGAGTATGAGGGAGAGGCGAGAGAAACGAGCGTCGACGCAGAGTGGACAGCTGGTTGGTGAGCCACATCGGAGGCACAAGAGAGAGGGCCGACTAGCCGGAGGGTGCGAGACAGTCGATGGCGGCCATCCGAAGCGGTCTGCTCGAAGTGCTTGCTCATGGAGAATGGCATCGAGTTCATGCCATGCTCGATCCTACTGCTATTACTCTACAGGTCAGTCAGTCAACTGTTCAGTATTCAGTTCATCCACAACAAAAGGGCATGGCCATGTCCTTTGCGCTGATTTGATTAGCTTCCACTGGAGATCCCTTCATTTATACGCATCATCGGACACGTTTTTCCAAATTTGGAGAGAACAATAAGGAGAAACTTGGAGCGCTGTTCGGCTTGGGAGGGACATTCGGTACTTTCTCTAGTTCTTTTTGCTAGTTCACGTTAATGGCAGGTCTCACTTTGGCCCGACCTGTAAGCCCTTGTGAGGTTGGGAAATGGTACAAGTGAGCCAATAAGGTCACGAGAATTTACAGGTCTTAAGGTGAGCGAGGCAAGCTTCAGTCGTACCATTTGGTGCACCCACCAAGCCGAACTGCGCCAACCTTGTTCATACCACATTGCCTGTTTGTTCACCGAACCATTAGCAACTACCATGACCCATGGTCAAGTATGTCGTTAAGGAAGTTTGGTCTTTGATACCTGCCCCCCTCCCCCTCTCAAGATCCGTGGGACAGGAGGGGTTGGGGCGTAGAGAACAGCCAGCTCCGATCAACCATTAGAAACAGCAAAATCGGAACGCCGCCTAATGGGTGGTGGATAAAAAGGAAAAATCAAAAATAGAAATTTTTCCCCAATGCCAAATACGACCCCCTCCTTTAGTGGCTAAATAGGACCTCTCTTCAAGAATTCTTCGATGAATGCTTGACCCTGCTTATACATCCCAGTAAGACAGACTACCACTTATTCGGTACCAAAAACCTTGGCGCTTCATTATTTACTTTGCTCCACCGCATTTCTACTATTTATATTTTGCCTCGTTGTATTGCTTTTGTAGCTAGTCGCTCAGTCCTGAAGGGTCCTGATGTCGAAGGAGGGGGCATTCGAAGGGCTCCTCGTGCAATACTGAGATTATCGTTACGAAGATGGGGATATTCGCCTAAGACAGAAGAAGCAAAGGAACCCCGGGGTAGGTGAATCAGTTTTAAGCACTGAAGCGCTGTTAGGCCACGGTGAA